ATCTTCTCCTTTCCCCCTTCTGATAACCAGGTGGCGAATCGCATCTCTGCATGTCTGGCAGACATATCAGTATGGATGACGGATCACCACCTCAAGCTGAACCTTGGCAAGACGGAGCTGCTCTTCCTCCCGGGGAAGGACTGCCCGTTCCATGATCTCGCCATCACGGTTGACAACTCCATTGTGTCCTCCTCCCAGAGTGCGAAGAGCCTTGGCGTGACCCAGGACAACACCCTGTCGTTCTCCGCTAACATCAAGGCGGTGACCCGATCCTGCAGGTTCATGCTCTACAACATTCGGAGAGTACGACCCTGCCTTACACAGGAAGCGGCACAGGTCCTAATCCAGGCACTTGTCATCTCCCGTCTGGATTACTGCAACTCGCTGTTGGCTAGGCTCCCTGCCTGTGCCATTAAACCCCTACAACTCATCCAGAATGCCGCAGCCCGTCTGGTGTTCAACCTTCCCAAGTTCTCTCACGTCACCCCGCTCCTCCGCACACTCCACTGGCTTCCAGTTGAAGCTCGCATCTGTTACAAGACCATGGTGCTTGCCTATGGAGCTGTGAGGGGATCGGCACCTCTGTACCTTCAGGCTCTGATCAGTCCCTACATCCAAACGAGGGCATTGCGTTCATCCACCTCTGGCCTGCTGGCTCCCCTTCCTCTGCGGAAGCATAGTTCCCGCTCAGCCTAGTCAAAACTGTTCGCTGCTCTGGCACCCCAATGGTGGAACAAGCTCCCTCACGACGCCAGGACAGCGGAGTCACTCATCACCTTCCGGAGACATTTGAAACCCCACCTCTTTAAGGAATACCTGGGATAGGATAAAGTAATCCTTCTACCCCCCCCCCCCCCCCCCCCAAAAAAAAAAAAAAAAAAAAGATATTGTAAAGTGGTTATCCCACTGGCTATAGGGTGAATGCACCTATTTGTAAGTCGCTCTGGATAAGAGCATCTGCTAAATGACTTAAATGTAAATGTAAATGTAATGTCATATACAGTGGGGAGTACAATTATTTGATACACTGCCGACTTTGCAGGTTTTCCTACTTACAAAGCATGTAGAGGTCTGTAATTTGTATCATAGGTACACTCGAACTGTGAGAGACGGAATCTAAAACAAAAATCCAGAAAATCACATTGTATGATTTTTAAGTAATTAATTTGCATTTTATTGCATGACATAAGTATTTGATACATCAGAAAAGCAGAACTTAATATTTGGTACAGAAACCTTTGTTTGCAATTACAGAGATCATACGTTTCCTGTAGGTCTTGACCAGGTTTGCACACACAGCAGCAGGAATTTTGGCCCACTCCTCCATACAGACCTTCTCCAGATCCTTCAGGTTTCGGGGCTGTCGCTGGGCAATACGGACTTTCAGCTTCCTCCAAAGATTTTCTATTGGGTTCAGGTCTGGAGTCTGGCTAGGCCACTCCAGGACCTTGAGATGCTTCTTACGGAGCCACTCCTTAGTTGCCCTGGCTGTGTGTTTCAGGTCGTTGTCATGCTGGAAGACCCAGCCACGACCCATCTTCAAAGCTCTTCCTGAGGGAAGGAGGTTGTTGGCCAATATCTCGCGATACATGGCCCCATCCATCCTCCCCTCAATAAGGTGCAGTCGTCCTGTCCCCTTTGCAGAAAAGCATCCCCAAAGAATGATGTTTCCACCTCCATGCTTCACGGTTGGGATGGTGTTCTTGGGGTTGTACTCATCCTTCTTCTTCCTCCAAACACGGCGAGTGGAGTTTAGACCAAAAAGCTCTATTTTTGTCTCATCAGACCACATGACCTTCTCCCATTCCTCCTCTGGATCATCCAGATGGTCATTGGCAAACTTCCGACGGGCCTGGACATGCGCTGGCTTGAGCAGGGGGACCTTGCGTGCGCTGCAGGATTTTAATCCATGACGGCGTAGTGTGTTACTAATGGTTTTCTTTGAGACTGTGGTCCCAGTTCTCTTCAGGTCATTGACCAGGTCCTGCCGTGTAGTTCTGGGCTGATCCCTCACCTTCCTCATGATCATTGATGCCCCACGAGGTGAGATCTTGCATGGAGCCCCAGACCGAGGATGATTGACCGTCATCTTGAACTTCTTCAATTTTCTAATAATTGCGCCAACAGTTGTTGCCTTCTCACCAAGCTGCTTGCCTATTGTCTTGTAGCCCATCCCAGCCTTGTGCAGGTCTACAATTTCATCCCTGATGTCTTTACACAGCTCTCTGGTCTTGGCCACTGTGGAGAGGTTGGAGTCTGTTTGATTGAGTGTGTGGACAGGTGTCTTTTATACAGGTAACAAGTTCAAACAGGTGCAGTTAATAAAGGTAATGAGTGGAGAACAGGAGGGCTTCTTAAAGAAAAACTAACAGGTCTGTGAGAGCCGGAATTCTTACTGGTTGGTAGGTGATCAAATACTTATGTCATGCAATAAAATGCAAATTAATTACTTAAAAATCATACAATGTGATTTTCTGGATTTTTGTTTTAGATTCCGTCTCTCACAGTTGAAGTGTACCTATGATAAAAATTACAGACCTCTACATGCTTTGTAAGTAGGAAAACCTGCAAAATCGGCAGTGTATCAAATACTTGTTCTCCCCACTGTATGTCTCAGCCTGAGACAGAGCGCCGTCCCCAAAAAGCGATTGCGTCATCATTCCATTACCTGGCTGTGACTGCAGTCTGCCATGTGAAAAGCCAACTTTTTATTTAAAACATCAACAACAACAGTTCCCTCCATACCCTCAACAGGAGGGTGGGGGGGAATAGTGGGCACAGTCAGACCAGCCACTGTGCGATCTCCCATTCTTGCCCCCTTGCCACGTCATTGGCGCCGTCTCTTCTGGCCACCCCTCGGGTGCTTCCAAGAAGACGCTCTGACGACCTCTCTTGTCAACGGCACGGTTGGGACCTCTGGCTCTGCAGGAGGGGCGGGGCCCGCTTCTCTGCTGCCGGAAGTCGCTGCATGGCGCCGGGCACGACGCCTCGCTGTAGACCCCTGTCTACTTGAGGCGGTGGAGCTTGACGGTCGTTTCCGTGCAGGGCCGAGTCGTCCTGCCAGTGGCAGGTGTCTGGCCAGCTGCTTCCTCTCCTCGTCAAGCCTCATAAAACGCTCTGTCGCATCCTTGACGGCGACCCCAAACAGGCTGTCGTCAGAGATGGGGGCGTTCAGTAACGCGGCTCTGTCTGTTTCTTTCATGGCTGTCATAGACAGCCAAAGGTGTCGTTCCACCACCACCGATGTGGCCAAGGACCTCCCCGCACACACAGCTGATGCCTGCGTTAAGTGGAGAATAGCGCCAGAAATCCTGGACGCCTCTTCCACTTCCTCCCCAGTGAGCTCAGACTTACCCGTTGTTAGGCGGGACAGAGAGGCTGCTAGGAGGGCAATATTATTCGCCGCTGCTATGGCCTGGGCTCCTAACACGAAGGACTTCTAAACCAGCTGTGTTGTGAGTCTGTCCTTCTGTGTGGGTAGAAAGGCTTTCTTGGACGAGCGCCAGGGACTCGAACCCGGCACGAGATACGCAGGCAGGGCGCTCTCGAGCCTGGGGATTCACCTTGAAAGGCCCTGCTGTCTGCCTTCCACTCTGGTGAATGGGAGGTACGCCTTAGCCGGCGAACGCGCCGCTAAAGGTGCCTCCCATGAGTCCTCCACATACTTACCAAGCGAGGGCATGGTCGGTGCCAGAGGCTCCACCGCCCTCCTGGGCCTGGAATAAGGACCACCCTCCATCATATCCACTTCCGGGTTGGAGGGAATGGGAGGCAGCTTAATCTGCAGGCGCTCGGCAGCCCTCTCGATTAGCCCTGGAAAGTCAGAGTGCAGAGAGGCTGTGGCGTATGATGTGGCTGCTGAATTCTCAGTGCCCGCATCATCATCGCCCAGGGATGAAAAAGACATCGCCCTTTCCAATGGAAATGGGGTCTTAAAATCATGGGTCAGAGGGATGGATTGTTCCGCTGGAATATCCATCTCTTCCCCAATATCCCTGTCATCTCCTGAGTCAGCGCCCTCAGATGATGCCTCAGAAGCTGAGGCTAACACTGATAGCACATCCTCAAGAGGAATATCCTCCCTAAAAAATGCCCAGCGCTGCTTCCTCTCCTTCAATGGAAGAAGGGCGCAGCTGGCACAAATAGGGGGATCGCTGATGCCGTCCTTGGCGTGCTGTGAACCCAAACACACGAAACAAAGGTCGTGGGGGTCAGCAGCCGCCATGGAGGAGCAGCGGCATTGAGCTCTGAAAATAGCTTTTGGAGGTGGAAAACTTCCCAGTGTGCTCATTATTGGACGACATCGAGAACTGGAAATCGACGGCGTTATCTTCATCCTGAGTCTTCGTCTCTTCTTGGCTTCTTCAGTCTAGTCCAGTCGCTGAAGATAATGGGAGGCTGATTGAGGGGAAGCGTCACCTCTTATAGGGACACCAGTACTCCTATTGGCTTCAGGTGTGTGCATAATTTTGTCTCAGGCTGTTCGCTGCCTAGGCAGCGTTGTAAACCAATAGGGGCGGAGCTCCACGATATAGAACTTCCCGATTCAACCAGTGAAATGAAAATGTGCTAGTTCTAGCTTGTGGATTGGATAATTGTGATGTTTATGATAAAAACGTAACAATTTGAATACCAATATGTTTATATATATATATATATATATATACACATATTGGTATTTAAATTGTGTTTCAAAATACTATGTTGAAAAATGAGCATGAACCTCTACCGGATAAATGAAATTGCACTGCAAGTTCAGTATTGCAGTTATGTAATTTAATTGGGTACAGCCTGGCACCAGACAAAAAAAATGTATTATTCAGACTAATAGGACAAGTACCTCAGGGGTCCAGTCGAGGGTAATGCTACCCAAATTACATTATGGTGATAAATCCCATCGTTGCATGCACAGCAAATATCTTTTGGCTATTTGTTATCTAATATTAATAACTGATAGAAGTTTGTGACCAGAGACAATGTATTTTATTCAAATGATTTACCTGTTGTAGAAAGGCAACAAATTTGCACATGAAGTCCCCAAATACCCATCCAGGGAGCGGGTAGAGAGTGGCTGTGAACGGGACACAACACACCAGGAAGATGATGTCTGTGGCAGCCAGGTTAGCTGTGGAAATAAGCTCAGTTGTAAATAACCTGGTTCAGTTTATCAACCAGCTAATTATTAGTCAGGTGTGCTAGATTAGGGTTGGAGGGAACTCATTTCTTACTGATGAACACACTTTTGCAACATAAAAAGAACCATTTGAACATGTGAGTCATAAAGCCATTCATTTGAATAAATACCTTGTGTTAAAGAGTCAAAGGCATGTCACCAAGTCAGAGTATCTTGGTATTGGCTTCAAAGAGCCAATTTATTTCACAAAATTCAGAAAGCTAAATACACATGGGTCGGTGGGTACTGCTGTATTTCTTTCTGAAATTATGGCCGATATTATTGTTTCACTGCCATGGAGTAGAGGTCTTATCACTGCAGGTGGACAGGACCTGCTGGGCTCCAGCATTGCCACCCGTGGAGATAATTGTCAGTCATGTCAAACACACATGCACAAACACACACACAGACATATGCGCACATCACGTGCACTCACACAAACACGCACGTTGATGCCATCATTGTAATTTATAAGCACAGAGATATATGCTGTCCACCTTCATGGTTAATTCATCCTATCTCTATAGGAAATCCATTGATGTAGCACATCTCCACTCCACACATGCATTTCTAATGTCAAACACGATCCATTATTTAGTATAGACACATGATCCCTATATTTAATATTTAGTCTGTATGTATACTGTAGTATATGCTGTACTGTATAGGTGCATTCACCAGACAATGGATAAGGTTACAGTCGACAATATTCATGTACAGTCATCAACATAAAAAGACAAATACAGTCATTAAGGCTGAATGATTATATAGTCATCATTAGTCCTAGTTTACAGTGGAAATAAAATATTTCTCTGGACAACATACTTTACATAACATTGACTGTGACAGTAACACACAAAGAACACGTTTCCCAGGTCATGACAATCCACAAGAACAATTATGTATTGTAAGTGGAAAACCCTTTGTAACTGTGAGGGAAACCCTTCGGTCTTGCTTACCTATGTAGAAATTGGTGGCCGTCCTCATCTGCCTGTGTTTGGAGATGACATAGATTACCAGAGAGTTCCCGATGAGCCCCACCAGCATGATGAGAGCGAAGAAGAGAGGCACCAGCCAGGCGTCCGTCAGGAATGGGTGCTCCCCCTCCTCCGGATTCTCCAGAGAAGCATTCAGCTCAGACGCATTGAACCACATCAGGTCTGTAGAATTCCACACATCTGGAGGGAACATCTTGATGTGTGAAAAGAAGTCGAAGATCTTCAAATGTAGCCTTGGGGTGATAACTTGTGTATAATAAATCCCTTTTAACTACTGAAAAGGAAAGTGATATCTGTCCAGATAACATTGGGGAGTCATAAAGGCTCAGGTGGTGAAAATATGAAAATGTATGCACTCACTAACTGTAAGTCGCTCTGGATAAGAGCGTCTGCTAAATGACTAAAATGTAAAATGTAAATGTGTTCTTAGGAGTCCCTAGATCTGTCTATGGTTAGAATGTCTTTGTTTAGAATGGGTCTGACAGTAGAGTAGACTTCTGTTGAGCTCAGACTCACAGTGGTGTTTCTAACCTCGTTGCAAAAGCTGCCTCCTAAACTGCTTCTACTCAAGGACGAGATCCCGTTGGCTTTATACTGAGCAGAGCAGGGACGCACGTGGGCAACTGACTGATTGTGGAATAAATAGGTGATGTCAGGTCTCCTAGCAACATTTTCCCTATCCAAAGTTTGGTACCTCATACACTGCTTTCAATGCAGTCAGAAGCTGTCTTATCATATGGTATCGGTCATATCAGGGCCATTTCTGTGCTTATACTTATGGGTCTTAGCTAATGTACTAGCTGTTATTTACTGTAGCTATGTAAGGATGGTGGTGTATTAAATAATCTAAACTCATTAAATAACCTAAACTCATTAAACAACCTAAACTCAGAAATTATACGATAAAATATGGGGTTCAGCCTTTTCTAATTGAAATCTCTTTTTTTTTTACATTACATTTACTAACAATGATAATCGATTCAAACGTGCCATTAGGATTTAGAGTGGATTGAACACCCAGTTTATCCTAAAATCAGTTTTAAGTGTTTTAAAAAGGATATATTGCTAATCAGGACAGTAACCTCTAAGACGTGTTCTGTGAAAATGCATTCAGCGTGCATCAAGCTAAATTCACAGCCAAACAAAGCATTTGAATCATGGATAAGCAGCACTTACTGTTAAATTGGAAGATACAATTCTGCAATTTAGTGCCAAGGAGTCTTTCTAAATGTTTATGCTATTTCCTTGAGATCAAAAATATGAAGCTTGTTATCAGACATTTATCTGTGAATAATGATAGTAAATATCATTTTACTGCAATTCAATAGGATGTTGTACTGTACATGTACAGGTACATCCATAGAAATTAGCATTAACACAGGTTTTGTCATGTTATATTGATATGGTATGTCATCATGAAATTAGCATTGAGAAAATACACCCTCCTCCCTTACAAAAAGTCCTACAGGAATCCTGCAGAATATACACTGAACAAAAAATATAAATGCACATGTAAAGTGTTTCATGAGCTTAAATAAAAGATCCCAGAAAGATTCCATACTTACAAAAAGCTTATTTCTCTCAAAGTTTGTGCACAAATTTGTTTACATCCCTGTTAGTGAGCATTTCTCCTTTGCCAAGATAATCCATCCACCTGACAGGTGTGACATATCAAGAAGCTGATTAAACAGCATGATCATTACACAGGTGCACCTTGTGCTGGGGACAATAAATGGCCACTCTAAAATGTGCAGTTTTGTCACACAACACAATGCCACAGATGTCTCAAGTTTTGAGGGAGCGTGCAATTGACATGCTGACTGTAGGAATGTCCACCAGAGCTGTTGCCAGAGAATAGAATGTTCATTTCTCTACCATAAGCCGCCTCCAACATCGTTTAAGAGAATTTGACAGTACTTTCAACCGGCCTTACAACCGCAGACCATGTTTTTGGCGTTGTGTGGGTGAGTGGTTTGCTGATGTTAATGTTGTGAACAGAGTGCCCCATGATGGCGGTGGGGTTATGGTAAAGGCAGGCATACGAACACAATTGCATTTTAGCGATTGGCAATTTGAATGCACAAAAATACCATGGTGAGATCCTGAGGCCCATTGTGAGGCCAATTTTTTTGTAGATATATTCCCAGTCATGTGAAAATAAAGTGGTGAAAATTTAGTGGTGCTGACTTCGTCGGGAGAGGTTGTGTTTTCTCTAGCAGGAGGTAAGCTTGGCTTCTCATATGGTGTTGAGTAAAGCTTAAACCATGTATTTAGATCGTAGGTAGGTAGTTTATTTAGGTAGTTATTTAGGTAGTTATTGTAGGTTTCCGTAGGCAATTATTGTAGGTAAGTATTGTTTACGTATTGTTTAAGTATTGTTACGGCGGAGCCCGGCGAAGCACGAGGCTAGCTAGCTAGCGGGTAGCTACTGGTAACGTTTATTGGTAATTATCTGTTTAGTGCAACGGTGGAGAGTTGTTTCCAATGTTAATGTGCTAGCGAGCCAACGTTTAATTTTTGCTGCGTTACGAAAGGAACTAGACACGGACATGAATTATCTGTTTAGTGTGTTAACACACTCTTGGTAGTTTGTTGTAACCAAGTATTGGTGCTAAACTGTGTGTTATTGGATGCTAGCATGCTAGTTAGCTATGGCGTCATAGCTAGGCATCGTGGGCTGTTGTGGGTAGTTACTGTGGGTTGGCATTGTTTTTCGGCGGTGCCGGGGGTAGCACGAAGCTAGCTAGCTAGCCGTTCTTCAAACAAGGTCAACACAGTGGCCATTGCTAGCTAGCCAACAGACACGGACACGAATTATCTGCTTAGTGTGTTAACACACTATTGGTGGTTTGTTGTGACCAAGTGTTGGTGCTAAACTGTGTGTTTTTGGATGCTAGCATGCTAGTTAGCTATGGTGTCATAGTTAGCTAGCTGAATAAAGTGGGTTGAGTCTATTCCTTTAAACATTGAACCGCTGTGGTTCACAACAATTCTGATTTCTAAAGGTGGAAGTTGGTAGAGTTTTTGTTCGGGTGGTTCAGTGAAACAATTATAGTTTCTGAGGTATAAGTTTTTGGTGAGGGAGGCCCTGCTCTCTACTCTCCCAGATGTTTAGTTCATTTCATTCCGATCTCCTCTGCATTATTGTAGCCATTTGCTACAGCCTGTCAACTATGCCTCTGCCTATCCCTGTTCTCTCCTCTCTGCACAGGCTACACAAACGCCCCACACCGCGTGGCTGCTGCCTCTCTAACCTGGTGGTCCCTGCACGCACCCCACACCTGGAGTTCCAGGTCTCAGGCAGCCTCTGGAACTGCCGTTCTGCTGCCAACAAAGCGGACTTCATCCCAGCCTATGCTAATCTCCAGTCCCTCGACTTCCTGGCGCTGACGGAAACATGGATTACCACTGAAAACACTGCTACTCCTACTGCTCTCTCCTCGTCTGACCATGTGTTCTCGCATACCCCGAGAGCATCTGGTCAGAGGGGTGGTGGCACAGGAATCCTCATCTCTCCCAAGTGGACATTCTCAATTTTTCCCCTAACCCATCTGTCTATCTCCTCATTTGAATTCCATGCTGTCACAGTCACTAGCCCATTTAAGCTTAATATCCTTGTCATCTATCGCCCTCCAGGTTCCCTTGGAGAGTTCATCAATGAGCTTGACGCCTTGATAAGTTCCTTTCCTGAGGATGGCTCACCCCTCACAGTTTTGGGGGATTTCAACCTCCCTATGTCCACATTTGACTCATTTCTCTCTGCCTCCTTCTTTCCACTCCTCTCCTCTTTTGACCTCACCCTCTCACCGTCCCCCCCTACTCACAAGGCAGGCAATACGCTTGACCTCATCTTTACTAGATGCTGCTCTTCTACTAATCTCACTGCAACTCCCCTCCATGTCTCTGACCACTACTTTGTTTCCTTTTCTCTCTCGCTCTCCTCCCACACTACTCACTCTGCCCCTACACAGATGGTAATGCGCCGCCGCAACCTTCGCTCTCTCTCTCCCACTACTCTCTCCTCTTCCATCCTATCATCTCTTCCCTCTGCTCAATCCTTCTCCCTCCAATCTCCTGATTCTGCCTCCTCAACCCTCCTCTCCTCCCTTTCTGCATCCTTTGACTCTCTGTGTCCCCTATCCTCCCGGCCGGCTCGGTCCTCCCCTCCAGCTCCGTGGCTTGATGACTCATTGCGAGCTCACAGAACAGAGCTCCGGGCAGCGGAGCGGAAATGGAAGAAAACTAAACTCCCTGCCGACCTGGCATCTTTTCACTCCCTCCTCTCTACATTTTCTTCATCTGTTTCTGCTGCTAAGGCCACTTTCTACCACTCTAAATTCCAAGCATCTGCCTCTAACCCTAGGAAGCTCTTTGCCACATTTTCCTCCCTGCTGAATCCCCCCCCCCCCCCCCCCCCTCCTCTCTCTCTGTGGATGACTTCGTCAACCACTTTGAAAAGAAGGTTGACGACATTCGATCCCCGTTTGTTAAGTCTAATGACACTGCTGGTCCTACTCACACTGCCCTACCCTATGCTTTGACTTCTTTCTCCCCTCTCTCTCCAGATAAAATCCTGCGACTTGTGACTGCAGGCCGCCCAATAACCTGCCCGCTTGACCCCATCCCCTCCTCTCTTCTCCAGACCATCTCCGGTGACCTTCTCCCCTACCTCACCTCGCTGATCAACTCATCCTTGACCGCTGGCCATGTCCCTTCCGTCTTCAAGAGAGCGAGAGTTGCTCCCCTTCTCAAAAAACCAACACTCGATCCCACTGATGTCAACAACTACAGACCAGTATCCCTTCTTTCTTTTCTTTCCAAAACTATTGAGCGTGCCGTCTTTAGCCAACTCTCTTGCTATCTCTCTCAGAATGACCTTCTTGATCCAAACCAGTCAGGTTTCAGGACTGGTCATTCAACTGAGACTGCTCTTCTCTGTGTCACGGAGGCTCTCCGCACTGCTAAAGCTAACTCTCTCTCCTCTGCTCTTGTCCTTCTAGACCTGTCTGCTGCCTTTGATACTGTGAACCATCAGATTCTCCTCTCCACCCTCTCCGAGCTGGGCATCTCCGGCGCGGCTCACTCCTGGATTGCGTCCTACCTGACCGGTCGCTCCTACCAAGTGGCGTGGCGAGAAGCTGTCTCCGCACCACGTGCTCTCACCACTGGTGTCCCCCAGGGCTCAGTTCTAGG